AGCCAGGCCTTCGGCCCGTAATAAGCTGTTCAATAAATACCCCGGAAGACTCGGTGAGCAGCTTCGCCGCACAGGAACAGATTCCTACCCAAGACTGAAGAGGGAAAAGCTCGTATTGTTACCACGTGTCGTCTGTCCTTCAGTGAGAATGGAAAAGCGAGAGCAAAGCGAGAGCAAAGCGAAACCTGGAACGTTGTCTTGTTACCGGGGAATTCCTTTTATTCTCCGCCTGAAGTAGGAGTCTCGCCTATGGAAATTTGACAGAAGCTTAGCATATTGCTGAGCCAGCCTTAAGGATATTGCCTGCTATGCGTAGTATTCCTCTTCACATCCATACCGGATTCTCTCATATGAAGGATGCACGTCGCTTCTTGGTACCGGATTGGGCAGGTTAGCTTTTCTGCTGCTGACTCGGACTTGTGCACAAGGTGAAGTCGGTGAAGACTCGGGATCACAACATCGCAAGACACTCATGAAGATCAAGAAATAAAGCAACTGGATAACCGGCATAGTCTGGTCCACAAAACCAGTCTCCAGAGTAAAGTAAGATACATGCGTACAGAGACATGCCATTTGACCAGAAAACATTTGATTCAATCGAGTAAGAGGCACTCTCCAGTCTCTAAACAAAGGTGGCGAAGCATTCGATGCAGCGCGCAATAATTCCGGACATCCCGGTTTGCAAACGATCGTCTGCGTAAGGTATACGTTCCTGATCCCAACATGACCCAAAACAAAAGATCACGATCCATGTCCGTCAGCCTTCTCACCTTGATGCTTATAGCTTTCTTGTATCGACCCGGTTTCGTTCCTACCTCGTTTCAGTCAGCATGCCTGGAGAACGGCCGTGGCAATCCTGATTGGTTACCAAGTTCATCGCGAGGATGATATAGTATCCCCTTTTGCACATGTGCATGTGTGCATTTCGTTACTAAGGTCGCGACCAGTAAACTCAAACAAGAGACAGGCATGTCACGTACCCAAACTCGAGGTTTCCATCTACACCGCCATCTTTTCTTTCGACTCCTCTGGCAACGTAGTTTTTCGTCAGCCACACACCGCATATCACAGGGTTGTTGATGTTGTTGCTCATGCTAATGGACAACAGCATGGGAGAAAAGGCCAGGAAAACGGGTGTACGGCCCGCCGTTCAGACACTTCAGACATCATGGGCCCGGTTTGGGAGTCAAGCAGCTTCCTCTTGAGGTAATCCTGTGAGAATGAGGAAGACTAGCATGATGGAAGAGGATGCCGACGGACCGAGTTGGTGATGGTGATGACGAGGATGGCCATCATGGGCTTCAGACTAAGGGGAGAACGAGATGGCCGTAGCTTGGCTCAGAAGATGTATAAAGAGGGAGCGAATGCCCTCCTCAAACTCAACCTTTCTCATCATCCTCATCATCATCACTTCAGTCTTTACAACAATCAAATCAACTACACTTTTCAATCTTCTCACGAAGCCAACCCAACAAACAACAACATTCAAAATGCAGTTCACCATCACCTCCGTCCTCGCCCTGGCCGCTGCCTTCACCGGCGCCTCGGCCGCGTTCACCAAGCCCTGCAACGCCCCCTATGATGTCTGCGGCTGGACTCTTACCTCTGGCGAGTTCAGTATGTTTTTTCCTCTCTCTTTCCCCCCTCCCCCTTGTTTCCCCCTGTTCCCCCTTTCAGATTTCTATCTTCTTGAGTGATGGATACTGACCTGAGAAAAAAAGACTACGACGCCCCCACCCTCGAGGCAGCAGTCCAGGCCGGCGGCGGCAACCCGGCCAACCGCAACGACGTCTACGACGGCATCTACGGCTGCCGCGACAACGGCGCCATCGTCTGGAAGCTCCGCTGCCCCAACGGCTGCAACGCCGCCATTGACGTTCCCAACGCCAACTGCCGCCCTTAAATTCTTGGATCATCCAGTCCTGTATTCTTGAAGAACACCATCATCGGGGCGAGACGACCTTTCTTGGGACGCTGAGGAAGGGGTACATGGGAGGACTAGATTTCATTTTGTTTTTGTCTTAGAAACCCGCTTGGCCAGCCATTCACTCGTTTTACCACCAAAACCTTTTGTTCCTTTTGTCCTGCAAAGTTTCGTCAAGTGTCATTACCGTAAACGCCAGGACCCATCATAACCTGTCATGGATTGTAATCATCCCAGCCATGACCCCATTCCTATTTCATAACCCGTGACCCGTAGCCCATATACATCCCTGCGCAGTCCAATGCTCAGCAGAGTTTCCAAGAGATCACCGCCGCCCCCCAAAAGGCGAAACAGCCCGCGACCCAGCCCAACTCGCGGTCCCCACCCCCGGACTTCCCAGCGTTAAACTAGACTGCGATCCCCGCCCCGAGTAAGGGTAGACGTAAACCTTCTTCCAGTCCCAGTCCAGTGACTCCACCACCGACTTTACCTCCTCCCTACTGCTGCTCCCTTCCTGCCGGTTGTATCCATACCCCATGGACCCCAACTCTAGCCGTTCCCGGACGATATCCAGCGCGCTCGGGGAGAGTAAACCGTTTGGTAAGGGGGTACGGGCTCGTCGGGGGGGGTGTATCTCGGACGACGCGATGACAGTGTTAGGCGATTTGGTGCTGCTGAGCAATTCGTGGTCGCTGGGGATGTAGCGGATCGCTTTGAGGCGGTGGTGGCGGTTGCGGTGCCGGCGGCAGAGAAAGATGGAGATGGCTAGCAGAAGGAGAATGGCGAGGGAGGCGCCGGTAGCTATGCCGATGACTGCTGCTGTTGATAGGGGGGAGGAGGAGGTTGTTGAGTTTTCTTGTGGCTCTGGTGGTGATATCGTGGGTGACAATGTGGTAGAAGTCGTGGGAGTCGTTATCGGATTGGGTATTGTAGGAGAGCGGGATGTTGAGGCAGCACTGGTTGTTGATGCTGGCATTGCTGTCGTTTGTGACTGAAGCCATCGTCAACAGTGTCACAACCAAAAAAAAAAAAAAAAAAAAAAAAAGGGGGTAGGCCCCACTTACCCCTGAGGAGGAAAGTGACTCGGGCCGTACCGCAGATGGAGGGTGGGAGTAGCGGATGAAAGAGGAGGCTTCGTTTGTCTCTACAGCAACTGCTTGTCGCAAGTTTGATGCTAGCAATGCTATTGTCATCATCATGGTGGGAAATAGTTTTGTTGTCGCCGCCATCTTCTGGAGCACCACAACAACGCCCGAATCTGGATCATCACCAACTAAGGTATCAAGGAAAAAAGAAAAACCAGCGCGAGGAATTCGTCAGGGGAATCGGGGAGTTATGGTTTTCTGATCGAAAAAGAAAAAAGAAAAAAGCCATCAATTGCCACCGACATATCTCTCCCCTGAGATAGAAACCTGCTTCATTTCAATCGATTTTCTAGCCGCGCATGCACGAGTCCTGACATTCATTTCAACCTCTGTCCCAGTTGTCTGCAAAAGCCCCGCGGAGACGCTGCCGCCCTTCCCCGGTTGTGTCCAGTGAAAAGGACAAGTGCCAAAAATGGTGGCGTGACTTGACACACCAATCACTGGCGAGCAATGATACATTGGCGGTCTTGTCCAGCCAAGCTGAGACTGTGTGTCCACCTCGAGTCCCGACTGGCTGAAAATGATGTGAAATACGAATTTTTTTAAGAGCGCTGTGAAAGGGGATATCACAGAAAGAGCATAATGCTGTACAACTTCTCACTCCTGTTGGGCACAATAATTATTCATGCACAAAACTCTGAAACACCGAAAGAAGCAATTATGGCACTGTACAGAACCGCCGATCTTATATCGTCTAACCAATAAAAACCCTCCAACAACACGGACGTGCATATCGTGGCGGCGAGTTATCACGTCAATACTTCTGAGACATGCATACACCCGCCAACTCACTCTTTGGGACATCTGAAAACCAAGGAACAGAGAGTACAAGAGACATTTCTCCGGACCTGGCTCATGGCTCCCCCCCTCCTTCGTAAAAGGGCCAAATGGTCAAGCGGTCATGGGATGAAGAGGAGGGGGGTTGGTGCCGCCTGTCTGCTAGGGCAGGGAAACCAAGAAAAAAAACTCGAAACATGTCGAGTTCGAATCCCATGGTTGTCTGCGTCTTTTCTTGTAAAACTGCTAGGTTTTCGTAGCTGACGTTCCTCTGCTAGGAGGGAGTCGGTGAGCTTTTTGTGTTTTTGTTCTTTGCTTGTGATCACTCGTCATTGAATTCCATGTCAACTGTGTTCATCTTGTGATACTCGCACCTTTTAGAGTGTGTCACGCTAACTTTTGTACTTCCTCTCTCTTCTTCTAGACTCGGGTCCTCATACTCAACCTCGCTATGAAGTGTCCATTTTCTCATTGCTAACGACTTCTGCCAAACTGCGAACAAGTTGTCGCCTTCGATTGTGCCATGACCCCGAATAGAAAGTAATGAATCCAACTTAATATTATATCTGATGTTAATAGTACTCCGTAGTCAAGAAAACCAGATTACAAGATTCTTTCTTTCTGCTCACATTCTCAGATTCTCAAAGGCCTCAGCTGCAGATCAGAAGGTTGCGCACTGTTTTGAGGCACTTAAAAACAACACAATAAGTATATTCACTTCTATACCGATTGGAACTCGTATTTTCTTCAACTGTAAATTGCTGCTGGCAAGATAAGACTTTAATGCATTACATGTGAGCCGTGACAGCAATGGGATCCATTGACACGAACTGAGCGGGTTTTCTTTATTAATTATCATAGCTATGAACAAACCACTCCCCAGTATGAATATATGTCTGAATTTATCTTTCACTTGCCAGGCACTTGATCTCCTTCAACTATACTAAATCTCCAAATCCAACCCCAACCCCTATTTCCCTTCCATTCTCAAAGTCAAGAGTCGGAAAAAGGGGACAAGGAACCCGCACCCAAACAAACACCTAAACCCTCCCCACAACCCACAAACACTGACTCAACCACCCGCATATAAACCCACCTCCCGCAAGAAAATCCCAACCAAGTCTTCCCTCTCGGAAGCCATACAACGAGACTAATCGGGTATGGTGTAGCGGTAACATCGCTGACTCTCATCCACCTAAGCTCCTCTCCTCAGAGGGACTTGTTGGGAGTGTACTCAGCAGCCCGGGGTTCGACTCCCCGTATCCGAGATCTCTTGGCGCTTTTTTGCTTCCTATCTCTACTGATTACCTTGCTGAAATCAAGTGATGGGGAAACGTGGTTAGAGAGTGCCTTGCTCTGAGAGTCAGCTGGGTTGTCTGTCCCCCCAGGGAAGGCTCCAGGGCACAAGTTGGGTCTTCGTTTGCGGTTCATCAAGCGGTTATCCGGGTCGGGTACCTCCAAGCAAACAAGTTTTTACCTTGGGAGGAATCTCAGAGGTTATGTGTCCGGAGTGTTCCTTATGGCTCTTCACCCAAAAGTTGTGGAAAAAGGGATTGCTTAGCTCACTTCCTTTGGAAATTGTGTTCGCTTGGTCTGTTGTTGTTCCAAGCATCGACAGGATGAAAGTTTCTTGGATAATCAGTGATGAAGTTGAACCCCAAGAGCCTTTGTGGTTGTTCATATTCTGCTCTATTAATCCGCTTTTTGTACCCAGTGTAATAATCAATGCCTTGACGCCCATCATCTATCAATGAACGTGACAGCTCCTGGTCTGACATGCTAAAACAACACAGCCGCGATATAATGCCAGAAATGAAATCTCAATACACAAAGGATCTCTCTGACTGTATTAAAGTCTCGTAAACCGCTCCACCAGGCGTGACCCAAGCCCCCAGAAACTCTACTTCCGTGGTCTCAGCGTCCTTTGAATCTTGGCTGGGGGGCCAGCCTCCTCTCCCTCACTATCATCCTCTTCGTCATCCACATCATCGTGGTCCACCTCGTCCTCGTCCAAAGACTCGGCATCTGCCAGCTCCTCCTCCTGTTCATCACCCTCAAAGTCATCATCATCCTCCTCATCGTCAGAGTCCGCGACAACGTCGTCACCAATCGGGAAATCATCCTCATCGTCCATCACAGCCTTGACGCCATTGGTGAGAAGCCCCTTGGGCAGCGCTGTCTCCTGACCCTCGACGTACACGACCTGCGGCTCACCCTCGTCTTCCTCCTCTTCCTCGGACTCGTCCTCGCCTGTGATCCTATCCCTGTTGGACGACGCCTGCTTGACGGCCTTGCGGAATTTGAGCTGAGCGTCGAGCATCTCCAGTTTTCCCCTGAGCGCCAGCAGAGCCGGGAGACCCCTTGCGCGCTCCTCGAGCACGCGGCTGAGCTCGCCTAGCCGGGCGGTAAGGTCTGGTCGGTTCACGAGCGCGCCTCCGTGTGCGATCATGGTGAACTTCATCCACTGCATGAGCGTCAACGACCGACCCGGGCGGCGGTGCAGGCGGGCGGCAAGTTTGGACAGCAGCTCAAGCGCGAGCGACGAGTCCAGGCGGGCGATGGTGTTTTCTACTGCCTTGATGTTGGTCTCCTCCAGACACGTTTCGAGGAGGAGGTTATCGCCGGTTCGGAGGGCCTGGTTGAGGAGGGTAGCGAACGAGTTTGTGTTGATGAGCCCCGCATTTCGCTGCTGTTGCGCTTCGAGGCGGGCGGCGGAGGAGGAGGAGGCACCGCCCGAGGTTTGGGCGGCGAGGGAAGCCGAAACGTCGACGGTCGCGGAGCCGCGGAGGAGCTCGCCGAATGTTGGTGCCGCGGGTTCTGTGTCGTCGGCATCACCACCGCCCATTTCTACATCTTCTCCGTCTTCTGTTGTCTTGGTCTGGTGTTCTGCGCTCTGGTCCTCCTGGTCTACCTCCTCCTGGTCTGCCTTTGCCTTGTCTTCGTCTTCATGGTCGGAATCGCTCAAGATTTCGATGGGCTCGTCTTTTGATGAGAGGCCTGTTGCGACCACTGTTCTCGTCTCGTCGATCTGGGTCTTGGACCGGGTCTTTGCGCTCGGTTTGACGACGGGCGTCGCGATAGTTGCGACCTTCCTCTTGGCCGACATTGTGTGTTTATGGTGATGGAAGATGGGACAAAGTTGATTTAGGTCTCTTGCTGTGGCCAATCGGACGAGATATCCCACATATAATATCGGCAGATTTGTGCTGGATCCGACGGTATTGTGAGTGCGCGAAACGAAGAAAGTTATCGTAATTGGAGATGGAGCGATTGAAGCTGCTGCAAAAAAATGAGAGACACAGCCAAACTTTTTTTGCGGGTCTCAGCTTGGCAGGCCCAGAGTTGAGAGCATGTGGGGCATTGAGATCTTGGGTGGCCCGAGTGCCATTTGCACAGTACGTACAGTGCTAGATCACGTGCAGTAACATGTGATCTGTATCTTCCTTGCAGCTTGATTAGCCAAAACAAAATGTTACAACAAGACAAGAAGTAATAATTTACAAAGTGATCAAACTCTGTTCATGGGTTTCGAGTTCTCTTGTAACATGTAGCCATTTGTTGATGATACTTTGAGGTGTTTTGTAAGTAGGAGACAGAACAATGCAAACCGTGGGTTAGGGTTGGCTGCTGTCATTAAGCTTGACCTTGGTGGAGGAAAAGTGATGAACTCCCACATTTCCTGTGGATGTTCCCGTTTGGAAAGGTTGAACTCACACATTCTCCTGCGGATGTTCCCGTTTATATGGAAATGTGAACTCTCACATTTTTTGTGGATATTCCCGTCTTAGAAAAAGAACCCCCATAATTTTTGGGGGAGTTCCTGTTCCTGCCTGGCAGTGCTGGGTAGGTCATAAAATCACGATGGTGCATGATGAGTCACGGGGGCTGAAGTACTCTGGGACGAGGTTCCAATTGATGAAAATCAAGTCCACGCTTTCAGGCTTTTAGCTTCTTGTAGCTCGTGAAGTGAACGCTTGCTATATCAACTTCGTACAGATTGTTCTTGTCGCCAGTGACTTTATGAATACGATGCCAAAACTCATGTATTCCAACAGTACAAATTAGCGACAAAAAAGAAGGCCACCGTTTAAACACAGGCTCTGCAAACATGTTTCGAGAAGATACTCTGCTACGAGTACCATCCCCCTTCTGAGACTGAACTTTAGGTGAAGCCATCCCGGTGAAGCCTCCCTGAGAACCCTCCCTGAGATAAAGTGTGTAGTCCTGAACCGGCATGAATGATTGGGCAGATAAGATGGCGCTCATACGAACAATCCCTGCAGGACGAGAAGCTTTGGGCAACTCTGCCAGAATGGAGCAATCAGCGCCCTACAAGTTAAACCCGACCCCGACTCCAGGATCTCGCCAAGCTGGTCCAAGGAGATTCTAGAGATTCACGAAAAGAGGTACCTTGAGCAAGTACCTCGAACTAAAAACACGCGACGCGACGAGACACGTCTGGAGAACACAGGCAGCATCTCACCAAAAACCCATGAGCTCAAGACCTCTCTTGGTCGGTCCAGCAAAAGATTCGCGTCATTATCGCGTACCTTTCCTCCTGCTGTCTGTGACCTCAGGCTTAGTTAGCGTCGTTTGCCGACACAGCGCAGCGACTGTTTCACGCGATCGTCGCTATTGTGTTGACTCTCATCACCATGGGCATTTGCCTCAACAGCAAACAAGCAGAATAGAATCACTCGAGGTAACAAAGCAAGGCGGAAAGGAAAAGAAAAGTTCAAGTTCCCAGCGATAGATAGAATCATGGCCCGAGTCTTCCGAATCCTGTGCACGGTGAGAGGAGATTGTCGAACTGAAAGCGTCGCCAGTTTGCCGGTCGCATTTGGTGCAGAGTGCAGATAGGTAGGCTTCTTCCTCTTCTTCCCCCCTTCTTCCCCTTCTTCCCTTCTTCTTTGTGCACCACCCAAAAGCCCAGTCGCCGCCAGTTGCGTGTTGCATTCGGCCGATTGCAGCCTCTCTCATAGATAAGCATTCAAGCGCTTCGGCTGCAAAAGGGCTTCCTCGTTGATAATAAGCTGGACTTGCTTTGGTATTCACCAAAAATGAAGGGTTTCTGGCAAAAAAACAAAAACAAAAAAAAAGGTGTCCATCGGTCGGGCTCAAGATTCGTTTGTAGCTGCTTCTCTTTCTCGTCGTGGACAGTGATTAAGGAAAACTCCAGGGGCTTGCTGGTGTGGCACACACTGCACAGAAGACACTTTGTGTCCCCCGTGTCGTGCGCGCATGGACCCGCTTCTCTTACCCTCTGTGGCCAACCAGACGTCTCAGACCGCCCTCAACAAGACCAATCAAGCCAGTCAGAGGCGGATCCCCTCCCTGCGCGCTGGAGCTAGGCGGCTGTGATAAATAGCCCCGAGCTGCCGACCGCGACTGACATGTGTTTTCACCCAGAAATTTCAGAAAAAAAGAGAACGCGGTACAAAACCAAGCCCGACCTTCTTCCACAACTAACCAACCACATCCTGCAAAAGTCACTTGGAGGTATCCACTTTTACCGTACCCCAAATCCTAGCCACCCGTCTGGCCTCCCTTTTTTTCTTTTACCAAATCCCACCTCCGTTTTTCGGGCTTCTCTTCCTCTTTTTATTTTTCCCGGCTTTTCCAACCCACCCCCAGCCACCGCTTGCGAAGAAGCTCAAGCCACGATTACAAAAAACGACCCTTGTCCCCCGTCCGAGTTTTTCCACCCCGAAGAACCCCGTCATTATCCTGCGGCGCAAGGCTAGCCACCCCGACCGAGAGCCTTTTACCCCAGCTCGTTATTTCTCCTGCGAATCTGTGAGTGGTCACCTCTTTTTTTCCTTCTCGCTCATTTTTTGTTCCTCGAGGTTCGCGATCGCAACGCGTGTGCACGTCCCGCCTTCTCCATTTCCGCACTTGTTCCCTCCCCGCCACGCGCCAATCGCCTCTCTTTTTTCTCACCTTTTCAGTTTGAAGCCTGCACGACATCGTCGCCGTCGCCACCGCAAAATCATCCCGTCTTCTTTTTTTTGCGCTTCACCCTCTGGATTCGTCTAGTCAATCGTAATACCAATTTCGTATTCAATTCTCGGTGTGCTGCACGAACACGTCGTCATTTGCGACCGCGCGATCTTTTTTCTTGCCACACAAAACGTATTATTCCTCGACTAGGCGTGACATGCATAACTAATACATCCCGAATTTATTTCCAGCCGATTTAATGTCGCCACTTGCCTAAGATCACCACTCCATACCTCTACTTCATCGCATGGCAGTCATGACCACACAG